ACGGCGTTTTATGGCTGTCTGATGTGGCGCTCGCTGAATTAATGTGTCATGGTCCCGGGATGTTCACTGCAGAGAGTCGTATCGGACATCACTAGAGGTGACATCAGTCAGGTCTCAGAGCTGCGGTCGGTGTCCTTTCGATGTCAGAATAGCAAGGTGCATGTGGCTGCATAGGTATATGGGGAAACTGGACCGGTTCGGAGCTGAAGGGATTCTGTTTTTGGAGAGGGATGAAAGTGTTACACATACCGGCTCATATGATCTACCCTACCCCCAACCGCTGCGGTCGGTTGTTTTTCAGTTTCCCCACGGGACGGCCCGCGGAGACGGGCTGATCGCGGACTGACCGCCGGCCGCTGGGCGTGACCTCTGCCCTCGCTGCACCGCCCCGTTTGACCCGGGCCCGGCCCACCGCGGGGGTCAGCGCGGGTCAGACCGGCGCCCGCTCAAGGCCGCCTCTTTCTCGCGGTGCCGTGTGACCTGACCCGATGGCGTGACCCCAGGACGTTACGTTTGTACACCTGCTGATCGGCTGTCAGCCGGGACTCCCTTGACCCGGAGCTCAGAGCTGTATACCGGGCGTCTACTCAATGAGCCTTTGATCAGCTCCGCTCTGTTGGAGCTCGCTGTTGGGCAAGTCGCGCCGGTCCCAGCGCCGTGCGGCGAGTGAGTCACTCGTCCATGACGACGGCCGCTGGTTTATACAGTCGTCAGCGGCGCTGTAAAGTCGTGACCGCCGTCTGTGTGAACAGCGCCGGTCGGGCAGGGCACCCCGGTGTCAGGGCCGCTGTCGATTTATCTGGCGGAAAACCGAGCGCGGCTACTTACTGGCACGACCCGCCTCTCGGCGGCTGCGCCTGCCGACCAGAGATGAAAGCTGCCTTGTTGCAATAGGCCTCACTTCATCACGCATCGTTTTCGAGTAGAGAGGCCCGGGCGTTATACGGCCCGAAGTTGTATTTGACACCGTGAAGCCCTACTTGGCCTCACCATTAGCAGCTGTGAACGCGCTTTGTAGCGGGCTCCGTCCTCAATCAGGTAGGCTGAGCCGCTGATTGCGCTGCGGGGCGGCCGATTGTGATGCACGCGGCGTCTCTCTGCACTGTGGGGCTCCTAATTAGCTCCGGGAGTGGAGTGGTGGACCACTCGGTGGCCGACCTCGTCCTGTCGGCGGTCGGCGGTCGGTTCACCTTGGCCCGAGAATGGTGGGCTAAACGGCCGGACGGCTGTGTAAGTGCAGAGTTGACACAGCCCGACGCGGAGCCTGGCTCCAAACTTGGTGGACTGTGGTGTTTGCCGTTCCGATGCCCAACTAGTCGGTGTGGTGGGCTGGGAAGATTCGGGATACCCAGCATGGGTAGACAATGCGAGTGAAGGAAAACAGACCAAAGCAAGTGAAACAGCGCCGCGTTTATGCGGTACAATCGAGACATAGACGAGGAAAGAGCGAGACATGTCTAGCCGACTCGAACCGCTCCAACAGACCACGGGCCAGGCTCGGCCAACAGCCGGAGCCGGACCAAGCCGGTGGTCACCGGCGGCGGACCGCCCGGGGCGGCGGACGGCGGCCGTGGACACCGCCCGCCGTCACCACAGACGCCGGCTGTCCTGGGCCGCCAATTTTTGTGGGCCGACTTTCTCTGTGCGCGGCGCGTGCACGCGTTGTCGGTGGCCGCTGATCAGTGCGGCCGGCCGTGGGAGCGACCCCGATTGCGCGCCCGGCGGCCGCCCATGAACTGGGCTGCCGGCCGCCCATGAACTGGGCTGCCGGCCGCCGGCGGCGCCCCTGCACCTTTTTCGGCCAGTTTTCACAACAATTTACTGTGTGATTGTCGCCGGAGGAGGTGTTTGCCGACGACGACAAGCGGGTCACCCCGTTCCATTTACCGGGTGATTATGGTCTTATTGGGACGCGCCGCTCGCGATTCATCACCGCGTCGTTAGTTGTATCGTGCGCGGCGCTTTTCGCCGCCGAGTGGCCGGCGATATCAGAGGCTCCCGCTGGGCTGCCGCGTGGCTTTCTTCCCGGTTGGTGGTGCGGCGTGGCCAAGAGATAACGTCCGAGTCTGACCACACCCCGCTCCGGTTATGTATGTGTGCATACCGACGCCGTTTTGTGCGTCCGGTGAGCGTTAAGGGCGGTCAGCGCGGCGGCGGGGACGCGGACGGCGCGGGGCTGGGAACGGCGTGTCGTTTCCGGTCGGCCCGCCGCTCGTCCGCGTGGGAGCTGTTTTGTGATGAGGCGCGGAGGCCGGCGTCCCGCCGACAGCCAACAGCTCGACTGACGGCTCCACCGGCGGGGTGACGGATCGACCCGACCGCCGGGGCCACCGGGGCAGAGCCGTGGCTGAACTGCTTCACAGCCACAACAAAACGGCTGGACCGCCGGGCCCCGTGAGAATGGTGACAGGGACCGGACGGAAGGGGCTCGTGGGTGCGCTGAGTCACGGGAAATGGCAGCTGCGCCGTCTGAAGGCACTTCATGTTCCGAGATGGTTATCCTATGTGGTCATTTGTTCGACGGTCTGTTCAGTTTGTTCCTGGTTTACCTACTTCAGTGTTCACAATGGGGCGTGTTAATTCATCAATTCATTGTGATTTTCCTTTATCACCGTGCCATCGACGGTAAATGACATTGATTCAGTGCGGCTATCTGTATAAGTGCCGTACTTTAGCGGCACAACACAAATATGATACAAATGCGGCACGTTATGTTGTGTTTCTCTCGGCCGGCGAAGCGTGCCTCCAGCCGAGCTCATTGAGTATTCGTCGTGCCGCAGCTTTCCTCGCCGTACAAGGACACTGGCTTTTACTGGCCGGCCGTTTTCCGCAGTCTGTCTCGGCTTCAAACAATACGAACCGACGTGGTGATATTAGTTTTCAGCCTGGCCGGACCAGCCCCCCCCCCCCTCCGCTGTGGATTGTTCACTTCAGGTGTGCCGTGCTCTCTATGCCCGGCTGCGAGAGTGATAGGCGGAGGTACGAAATAGTGGACAGAACAAACGACGGAACTTTATTCAAAGCGATTCTCAAACGCAACAAAAGTGAGAAAATGATTCCAGTTACTTCTTTAAAGTGTCGAATAATGGCCTCTTGTTGCCATTATGTGCCAAGCAGGAATGCTAAAACAACTGGTTTCAAATTTTACACATCCATTGTCAGAGCGGTTTCCGGTAAATCATCAGTTCATTATTTTATAGCAATATGGCACCTTTTCCCTTTCCGCTCTCCAGTAGCAGATGTGTTTTGCACCGGTTGGTCCTCCTGGTACGCTGACGCCGAGCGGCACTCTCAGACCGCCTCTCCAGTGACACCGTGGGAAGGCAGCGCTCGAAAGCGGCGCGGCGCGTCTCAGCTGCGCCGTTTTCGGCCGGTTTCGCCCGGCGCTTCTCCGTGGTTAATGAACGGGTCCCCACTGGAGCCTCATGTGTGCGTGAGAGGGAGTGGCGGCCGGGCGGGGCACGCCGGTGTGCGTGGGGTGTTCCGGAGGTGGGCCGCGACACGCACGGAGGTGGTGTGTTTATAGCTCTGTTACCGCTGACTCAGCTGTGAGTGGGTGGGTAATGTGTATATTGAGTTCGGACGGTGAGAAGCTCGCAGGCTGGGTGGCGTATGTTGAGCGCCGACATGGGGTGTGCTGGTTACTGAGTCAGAGTGATACTCTTGGTACACCCGTTTGTTTGTCGACTGTCCCTGTCTGTCTAAAGGGGTTGCGCTGGGTGTGTTGGTCTGTTGGCTGCTCTACCCTCTGTTCGCAGGATGGTCAGTGATGGGCCTATCCAAAGGGGTGAGCTGGCTAATGTTCTCCCTCGCTAGTGTATGCAGAGCGCTCGCTGGGAGCTTCCCAGCAGGGTGTGTTGGTTGATAAACCTTCCCCCGCGGCTGTGTGCGGACCGGTCGGTGACCTGCCTGCCACTGGACCGGTCTGTGAGCCCTCCGTCACTGAGGAGTGGACCAGTAAACTGCCGTGGACCGGCTCCTCCCGTCGGTTAGCCCCTCCAGCTGTAGGTGTGCCGCGGACAGGGCGGCGAAATACCGCTGGAACGGGGTGTGGTGGGGACGGAGCAACCGCCTCCGCTGCTGCAATCTGCGGGCACTGGGTGGGTGTGCCTGGAACCGAGGTCGGTATAACGCGCCCCGGGCGGTCCCGTCCCGGTGCGGTCACCGCCCGCGGTGCCCAGTGGTGCAGTATGCCCATCAGACGCTCCCGCGTATTGCAATGCAAAACCCCTCAGGGTTCGGAGCTGGTTTGTGGCAAGGTTTTCGGTCGGTCGTTCCTCCCCGCTCCCCTTCTGTTCAGGCAACAGCCCCGACCGGGCTTTCTGGCTAATCTTGGATCAGGGAATGTCGACGCCCGTGACGCAACGTTCAGGTTCATGATGAGGACAGACATGTATCCTGGGAACTCTGCCCTGGTGCATAGCGTTCATTCCCGATCTTACCGCAGGCTTGGCACAGCCTTCGATGCCAGAAAGTGCCTCACGTAAGAGTGGTACCTCACAGTGGTGCTCATGTGGGCAGTAGCTCTCATGGTAGAATCAGATCGTTAGGAGCTTCCTCGCTATTTTCTCGGCGCTGTGACTCTACAAGCCAATTCAATGATATGCATGCAAGGTCATTCACATATTTTGGAGGAATGCAATGTAATGTATAATTTTGTGTAATGCAATGTAATACTCCGAGTTCATTTTCGTAGTACATTTTGTTCCATTGACTCGCGCAAATCCGCGCTGATGAAGCATCAAGTATGTGCCACGAATAAAGTTGCGTTTCGCTGTGTGCATTTGCGTGACCTGCGTTCTGCAAGCCACGTCTAAATACCCATCTTGGATATCAACAATTAATAAAATTTATAACTGTAATGGATGTAATCTGTGTGTAATGACTGTCTGCGACCACTCTGTGCGGCTACCAAGAACGCCCTCCATACATCAGCCGGGTGCTCGGTGCGGGCCGGTGCGACTGTGACCTCTCCGTCTGACCGCTGTGTTTTCCCGCAGGCGAGACGGCCAGTGTGGAGGAGGCCGGCCGACTGCTGCAGCTAGTGCTCGGCGTGGCCGTCAACTGCTCCCGCAAGCAAGGTCAGTCACCCGCGGTGTCCGAGCTGCGCGGCATAGGCTCTGAGCTGGGACTCATCCAGTCGCAGTGGCGGTGGGCTTGTGTGGATAGCGCGGGCTGGGAGGGATGGGAAGAGTTCTGCCTAAGTTTTCCTTCGGGCAACTATCATCGGCAGTCAACCATACGATTTGGGTCAGTGATTTGGGTGGGTGATGTCACCATATTGTCGGTAGACTTGATACATTTTATCGTACAATTTGGTTATTTGGAGCGCAAATAGCATTCAAAGTCGTTGAACCATGGCGTGATTCAGTAACTGTTCGCTTTACTGGTCCAGGAAATTGAAGGAGCTGGCAGTTTTGCTTCTGCAAATGCTCAACAAAATCATGTGAAATCGATGTTTGCTGAACGCTGACAAACTTCCAACTTTCATTCGGTCTGCGGGCGCCACGCGACGTCGCCGTACTGAGCTGATTGACATTTGCGCAGGCTTTCAACCGTTGAAAAATTCTGTGAAGTCAGTGAAAGGTACTCAGCCTGGTTCGAAATTTATTAAGGTTATTTATAATGAGCGACGCATGTATTTTCCAGTACCTTTCGCAGACTACATAAATCGCAATGTTTTTTCGTATCGCGCCCCTGACCTTTTGACCAGCTTCCAATTAGCACTACGATGTTACTGTCAAGGAGCATCACTAAGGAGCCAATATCTTGCTGTTGGGCTGAATCCTGCGATGCCGACTGTGATAAAGATCATGAAAGGTTTCATGGGATATTGGGCTTTATTGACTGTCAAGCTGCCAACACCCCACAGCCATTTACGGATAGGATATGTCAGTCACCACTCCCTAGTCATACCAGTCTGCGTCTTCCTCGAAACATCCGACTCATGACATCACCCCATGACTTTGCTGGGGGCTGGGGGAATCAAGCGACCCGTCTTACGTATTGACATATCTCTACTGTCTCGAAGGACAGTGCAATGTTGACCATCCGGGCTGCCTTGAAGTTAATACAGTGCGGTGTTTACTGATCTCCCTTGCCTTCAAGCTGATGTCGAGGAGAGGTTTGGCGTCGCGCACCACATCTGATAATCAAACACTGTCTCTGAGAGGACGACCACCAGGGTCCTGTTAGACCCTCGGTCGCTAATGGTGTCCCCGGGGCCGCCCGGCCGGCGCCAGTGCTGACCTGCCGGTCTGCAGTGGCCGCTGACGTGGCTGCAAACATGCCTCCCGCGCTGTGTAAGCACTCGGCGTCGCTCCGTGACGAGGCCACCTCCCGGAACAACACCTGGAGAGGTCACGGCAACTTGGAGTGGCGCCGGGACGGGTGGCCATGAGCGGCAGAACCGCGACCATGAGTCGAACGCGACGGACCGGTCAGCAGGATGGTCCGCACACACCGCGCTGAGAGTGGCTGTGTGCACTGTCAACATACCGGATAAAACACTGCTGCAGCCGGGAGTGCCGACCACCGTCCGGTCAGCGTCTCACCGCTCCCGGCTGTGTTATCTGGTGCGGTCATCAGATGCAAATAGGACTCCTCTAACCAGTGCACCGTTCGTCTAATGACGACCGGCGGCGGCGGTACGTCTCTGAGAGGTCGGCTGTTCGCACGTGCTCGGCCTCCAGCAGCGCTCACCGGTGTGTTTGATGCATGAGCTCGGCGCTGCCTGGTACGGCACGGGCCTCCCAACGCCGCCGGACCTGAAAACCTGGTCACCGGTGCAGTGTTCCTCGGGTCAACTCATAGCCCCGGCACGGCGATCCTTTCAAGAGTTGTGGTTGGCTTGGTTTGGAAGAAAAGGGATAGAATCTACCTGACTCGGGAGGAATCTGTCGGATAGAACGGAGCAGGTGATCTGGGAGACCCTGTGTTTTGGAGTTATTAAATTGCATGGGTACATAGCGTCATATTATGCAGAGATTGGCCGGCCAGTTTCCTTTTGTCTCGATAATCGTCATTGACGCCAGCGCCTGCGTTACTTTGTCCATCTCAGAACAAACATATAACGACACACAATCTAAAGCCACTCTCCGTCGTCCTACCTCACACCCCATCCACCTCTCACCTTTCCTTCCCCTGTCCCTGTCCCGCCGCTGAGCCGGCCCGCTGACCGGTAACCGCCGCGGTCTGCACGGCCGGCCGGCTCAGGGTCGGCGGGATTCATGCGGTCGGTCGGTCTGTCGGTCGGTTGGTCGGACGGACGGCGCTGCGGTGACTGTGGTGGGGGCTCTGTGGTGTCCGCTGTCACAGCCGATGTTCTCCAGCCGTGTTGGACCGTGTCCGCTCGCCCGCTCGCCGGAGTGGCAGCGACTGCAGATAGGCGCCGCTGTCCGCTACCCCGCCGTCCGCCGTCCGCCGCCCCACCGTCTGCTGCCCAGTTCTTCGCTGCTCTGTTCGCGCAGTTCCGGCCACTGATGCAGCACTACAAGTGTTACCGTGGCTGAAGATGGACTCCGGCATATGTGCTTTCAGTTAGTCCCGTTATCGGCTAGGCTCACCCATTCAATCATTCAAGGTTGTGTGGTGTTCGGTCACTAATGGAGCGGATACAAGGCTGTAGAAGGCTGCATCGCCTGTTCGAATTTTTCTTTTTATCAGCGAACCGGTCCGATTTTTCTCACCATTCGTGCCAGTTATATGTCCGCCCGTAGACATGAAGCTTCAACAGTTGTTCGTCCTTGACTGGAAGCTGCATTTGCTAAGTGGGACTCGCGTGAGCTCATACAATATCCACGTAACACCAGGGAGCGTTTTTATTGGTATTTTAGATCCACCGACCGAAAGTCCAAGTGAAAGTGTCCTAATCGTCGGTGGTGGGCGGCACGGGCCGCGGGGTTAATCAGCGGCACCCGCCGACCGTTTGGGGAGACTAACTACCGAGTCTGGGAGACGACGCTCTCCATTTAGCCCATCAGCCACCGGTCTGGGGCGACGCGCGCCTTCTGGGAGGGCCGTCGGCTCTGCCCAGTTTCCCCGGCGTGCACGGGCTGCACGATGACGCCACGATGAGGGATGCCACCCGGTGACGCGCGCCGGCCTCCCGCCGCCATCTGGCGCTCGGTCGGAACTCCCGCTGGGTAGCTCTGATGGAGCCGACCCTCCGCCGACCCGCGGCTGAGCCAGAGACGTGTTGAAACACCAGCCCACACCTCGCTTCATACCGGCGTGTCGTGCCCGGTGACCCTTTGTTTTAGACGGGGTGCTCTCGTGGAAAACACGAGGAAAGCTCACCATGGTTCGGTTTGGGTCAGTTCAGGTCAGCTCGATTAGTGTTGGTTTGGTTGGCGTTGCCTCAGATCGGACCTATGAGGGTCAGTGGGGTTCGCAGTGGGGCGGGGCAGTTCACTGGCCATGACCTCTGGTCGGTTTAGCTGGTGATTTGTGCTGGTTTATTGGGTTATTTCACCCTGTATCAGCGACCACAGGCCGCCGGTCGTAACCTGCTCTGGGTGACCGGTCAGCTAAGAGCGCCGCCGCGGCCGACGTCCACCTACGGCGGATTACGTCCCGCTGGGTAGCCGGGGGCGCTCGGCGCGGTCGGTGGTAAGACGCGGAGTCCGCTCCTGGTTGGGGTTGGTGTAGTATGACCCGCGGCGAGGTGGCGGTCGATCGGGTCAGGGCGGCTGGATGAGGTCAGGGCGAGGCCGGCACTGTCGCGAAAGTGGTGTGAATTTATGGTGCTAGTGATGAATGGAGTTCTTTGTAAGCAATCAGTAACGCCTCATTTATAAATTTTACGCACTTGCGACGGGTAACGCAATCTAAACTATGTCGGAAAATGTGTAAGTGGTCGGTTTTCCCTGGAGGAGGTCGTGGCCTCGTCTGGTAGCGGTCGTGTGCGAACATTCGGTCAGTTGCGTTTACCTGCAGCGCGCACTGCCGCACAGTAAGGTTGTAATCCGTTGATTTTTCCCTTCTTTCTGTCCACCTGTCGGACTGGACGTAGGCTGGCGGAGTTTTGAGTGAGGAAGGGTAGGCGGCCGGGCGCGGCGGTTACGTGCCGCCGATAATAACTCTGATCTGCGGGGGATCACTGGAAACATGACTTCAGACGCGGTTGGGTACCAGCCAGGGACAAGTCTTCCCACGCATTTTGTTGGTGGAGCGACTGCGACCGGAATGTTAAGCACGCCGGTGGTCGGTTTTATTGGTCTATGATAATCTTTTTCTCAAAAACGTCGTCGGGTATTCAGCTGTGTCGGCAGGATATTGATTTACGGCTGTGGGACCGGGCTCGAGTCGGCTGTTTGGGGGCCGGGGGCGGTCCGGTGTGTCCGCTGACCATCTGGCCAGCCTCACCGGCCGGGCACCTGTGTTATTCCAGAGATTGCGGTGGGGTGCCACTCTGCATAGACGCCCGCATTAAGATGTCCGTCAGATGCACAGCGCTGGCCATTCTTCACAGCGATGTTTTGTCAAAACTGACCCATGATGCATCTCCCTGCGCAGTTCATTCTGAATGTATTGTTTTTATGTATGAGGAACGGGTCTACCATATCTCTCGGAGCTGGTTATCCGTATTCACAGCGGGGTGCGTGTATTGTGTTTGTCACGGACCACGCGTGGTGTGGAGAGCTGCACTACCAGGTCACCGGGCGGGGCTCTAGTAAGTGAAAATGCGAGTGGGCAGGCCGTGCTACTGTAGTATCGAGACGAGTCCATGAATGAGCTGGAGAGTGATCAGCTCATAAAGGCTGGAAACTGTGCCGGCCTCCGGCGCAGTACCAGGCCCGCCGGCCGGCTCGTTCCGCGGAGAGGCACAATGGAGTAGAAAACAGAGTCAATTCGGGCAGTGACGCTCGGAAGATAACTAATTATCTCAGATCGTATTGGTGTGGTAGAGACTTCTTCCGTTCGGTGCCTTGGGCGTGTGCTTCTAGTGTTTGATTCTTCTTTCGTCGTGCCGCCATGTGATCTCTTCCACGAACCTTTTGCATCATTTTCTGCCCGTCGTGACCGGTTGCGTTTCCCTGTGACCCTCCGTGAGGCCGTTCCGTGACGTTCCTGGCTGTCG